AACAGCCCTAAACTCTGCTTTGTCCTCAGTGATTGGGGTAATTGGGAAATGAGGAGTAGGTGTATCTAAAATTGCAACAAAGCTCTTACTATAACTTTAAATTAATTGTCAAGGAAAGTTGTGTGAATACTGATAAAATACTCATTAGTATCCTGGAGGTATCAGGATTACAAGCGTATGAGAAGCTTCCCACAGAGGTTCATTAGGTTTTTTCTAATCACTCAAAAGGTCACATAAACTCTCTTTTCTTTCTTTCTTGTCCTGTTTTACTGACTTTCAATCTCTAACTGTATTGTTTGGTGAAATACAGCAATATATTATTTTCTTTCACTATACTGTTACTTACTTTTTATAGATACCATCTTTTGTTTCTTAACCCCCAGATCCAAATTTGGTGTCAATATTTAACGCTGTGTTTTGTTTTTCTCTCTCATTTTACCTCTGAGAAGCAATCTTGAATATGTTTTATCTGTAATCTCGAATGTTGTCTTCTCAGAGACTAAAAGTTCAGACATTAAAACAATCTGATTATCTTCTAAATTTTATATTTCACTTAGCTGCTTTTGATATTCTTAAATTTTTTCTAGAGTGAATGAATTTAGTATATATATAAACATATATAAACATCATTTTAAAAATTATTTTCAAAATGTTTTTAATCCAAACATTGGCTCTCATAGTACACAAAATACAAAAAATAATGTGTAATTCTGTATAGTAGCACATAAATTGACAATAAAACTGGAAAGTAATTGAAATGACACACCATTATACTGCTCAGTTTCTTGTTACCCAGTAAGGAAGGAAGTCTGTGTTTACCTCTGCTTATTTACTACTCTGTATTGAACAAGCTTTCTTCTTCTTCTTTTTTTTTTTACCACATCAGAGAATCTGCTTCTAGGTATAGTTGGCATCTGTCTCTCTCCCAGCCCCACAGCACCTTCCTACAGAATCAAAGGCTCTTTTCAAATTCTTAATCCTTGACAGGGATGGAGTGCCCAGTAAGCAAGTAAGGACAACATAGGCTTATTTGTGCCTACTTATTAACTGATATTTCACTTGTGAAATTGTTCACTACATGTTCGTAAGTAAGCACACGTAGGTTCATGCTAATTTGCTTATTGGGTCATTTGTCCCTGATACTATATATTTTTGGCAACATTTTCTAATCTTAAGCCAATTAAATACAGCTAAATCTGTGAAATTTGCCTACATTTTGAGGGCAAAACGTGTCTAAAATGCTTGTTGCTAGTTTGGAAACTTTAAAAAGAGAATATGAGAAATATCTTTAGTCACTTAAAATAACTATATATTTTTTCAAATAAGTTTCTAAATATTGATAGAAGCACATTTTCTCCTGTCTAATTTGTGAATAATTGTTATTGAAGGAAAATGTTTGCTTTACTTTCATAATTCAAGAATAATAGATGCTATTAACCACTTTTCTCATGATATATCTATAATATTTTTATCTCATGATATGGTAAGCATATCCAGTGACTAGATTGACACAGTGACTACAAAAATGGGCTGAAGCCTGTCAGGGAATGTGAGGATAGTGCATAATAAGGCAAGGTTCAGATTTGCTCACGTTGTTCAGAGAGACATTGTGAGTTGAACTTGACTCAATGGCACCTAAAAGCAAAACAATAGCCAATATATAATAAGCTATGGCAAGTTGTTGAAATCATCTTATCAAATGGGGAAATTTAACACTTTCAAATATAAAATAACATGCACCGAGGTCTACATAGACTAAGTTGTGGCTTCTCTGTATAATATCATAAGGCACACTGGAGATTCAGCAGTTAAACACTTGGCTACTAACTCAAAGTTTGTAGATCCATCCTGCAAGCTGCTTTACAGACTGTTTCTATAACAATTACATGTTTGGAAACCAGTAAAGGAAGTTTTGCTCTGTCCTCTCCAGCTGCCTTGTATCATAATTGACTGGATGGCAAGAGGTTAATGGATATTGTGCCATGGAAAAGCACTCAGTGGGGGATCAGAAAACCCGGGTTTTAGTTTCTGCTCTAACATCAGTTACTCTTATGACTTTGGGCAAGTAATTTAAGTTTTCTAGATCTCTACCCTTATCTTGCAAATGAAAAGCTGAGCAAAGTGATGATTCTCAATACAGAATATTCTGACTTTGAATTTTGTCCTTGACATGTTTGTAGTTAATATTGAAATATTGATCTACTTTTCAGGATAGTTTCTGTAAACTTATAGATCAAATCCTTTCTGTTATATTGAACCACCTTGCCCAAGGACTAATGTAAAAATCTGTTTGCTATTGTTACAGACTCCTCCCTACATGTGTGCTGTCATTTAGGATGTACAATATTTAACACATTTTTAATCATAGTATATGACACATGACAGTTTCAGTCTTTTTTTTTTTATCTGTCATGATGCTGCCTATCTGTCCAGTGATGAGATTTTTATTTTGTTGTTGTGTGTGCCATCAAGTTGGAACTGATACTATGGATTTTCAGGGGCTTCAAATCACATGGCAGGAGATTTCTCATTTCTCTTCCATGAGGCATTTGATGGATTTGAACCATGTACCTTAGGGATTGTAACAGCTTCTTGCCATTAAGCCACAAGAGCTAGCAGCTTTGCTTGCTGAAACTGAAGAGAACCTGAAGTGATTGCTGAAGAAGGTCAAGGACTGCAGCCTTCAATATGGAACGAAGCTCAACATCAAGAAAACAAAGATTTTCACCACTGAGTCAATTGGCAGTATCATGATAGATGGTGAAAAGATTGCGATTGTTATCAGATTCAGTTTGCTTGGTTCCACAATCAACACTCTTGGTACTAGCAGCCAGGAAATTAAAAGACAGATTGCATAGGGAAAGTCTGCTGTCAGAAACTTCTCCAAAGTACAGAAGAGCAACAATGTCCGTTTGGAAACTAAGGTATGCCTGATCCTGGCCATGGTTTTAGCAGTAACTTGCTTTGCATCAGAGAGCTGGAGAATGACTAGCAGTGATAGAAGGAGACTTAATACCCTTAAGCTGTGGTACTGGAGAAGAGTATTGAATATACCATTTACTGCTAGGAGAACAAACAGGTTCATCCTAGAGAGAGTGAAATCAGCCTGCTCCCTTGAGACAAGGATTCTGAAGCTGCCTCTGACATACTTTGAACACATTGCAAGGAGGGACCAGTCCTTGGAGAGGAATGTCATGCTTGGGAGGGTAGAGGAACAGATCAGGAAAAGAAGACCCTCGATGATGAGATGGATTGATTTAGTGACTGGGGTAATGGTGGTAAGTGTGTCAGAGACAAGACTGGTTTAGGACTGTTTTACATAGAATTGCTAAGAGTCACAAGTGACTTGATGGCACTTAGCAACAACAACATATGACATATGGTTTTGCCTTAGAAGAAACCATGCATTTCTAACTTTTCACTGAAGTCTTCCTGGGTTTCATCCCTTTTTAGTCAATGTCAGAATAGCTTTACTTTTGCTGTGTCAGATTCATGTGAGATCAGACTGGTCCTAGTCAGTCATTGCTTATACAGACTTTTCACACTATCAGTAAATATCACACACTGCTGTAGGTTTTTTTTAACCCTAAACAACTTCTTTGAGGGACAAAGATGCACAATCTCATCCCATGCAATTTACAACCACTGGAAAACTATATCCGTTATGAGCTGGTTACAATGTTATGGCAATGACTTTGAGGGTTTTGTTGTTGTTTTATGTACCTGTAAAGTCTACAAGTCACATTTGAGTGTATTTCCAAATGAAATGGCAGGTCATGACTATCTGTCTTAGGGATTTTTAACACTTCCTAGTCTCTCCTGTTGAGATTTTTACTTGCGTGGAACTGTGAGCAAAGCCCACACATGCACTCATACTCACAAACATACACTTTCTTGTACACTTACCTGCACACACTCAAGCACTTACATGCTGCTTGACTTTAGAGTTTACACTTTAATGGGAAGCATTAATCCTACCCAGGTGTTACCCCATTTTGGTTTAGGGGCCTTTTGGCTCTGTGACTTTATGCCTAACATGGAGTGGCTGCCCTGGGAAACCACAGAACAATGAGCTTAAAGAGATAGAATGAGGGTAATGTTTATTAGAATAAAGATTAGGTTTGTAATTCTTTGAGGGAATGAATGAAATTCAATGTTTTCCTGTAAATGGATATTTTTATATCGATGCTGCTTTGGATCTTCTGGAAAAAAAGAGGAGGTGATAAAAAAAGAAGAAACGCACAAACAAACCCAAAATAACAAACTTCAACAAATCAGTCTTTTCATTCAGAGCTGGAATTCAACAAGGTTTTTGGACAATCCCTGATATAATTAGTTTTCACTGCGATAGGGACAGTAAACCTCACAGATTTTGTAAAAATATGGCCAGTGGAGGGTGTTATTAATTGGGAAACAGTGCAATTGCTTAAATAACCCGGGGCCAATAAGCGTTTGGTGGGTGGAGTTAACGCTCTGTGCATTTACAGAGCAAGATAATTCTGAATGAAGATTTAAAACATTACAATGCTGGACGGGTCCTGGTTCCTTCTTTGTGTAAACAAAACTAGTGGCTGGAAGGCGAGGTTTTGTTTATTATCCATTAGTGAATTCAGCTTGTTTGATAAGACTTTTAAAAACATACATGTAAAGGATTTATCAGAAGCCTCTATGAATATTTCATGAGCTGATATATTCAGCTGAATGAATTCAGTGAGTGTCAGTGTGTAGCTTGCAGACAAACCTCATCCACAAGGAGGCTACTGACATAGGAAGCACTTTGGCACATTTTCAGAGCAAAGCCTGGTTGATAAAGCGCCTTGTGACAGACCTGACTTGCCATTCTTCCAGCATGCTGCTCTTGCTCTCAGCAGCTCCTACACTGGAGCCGCAGCTTTCCAAATTAAACTGAAATAGTTTGCAGACTTAGCAGCCTTCTAACCTGCAGCGGTGCCTCTGCTATGTTTGAGGGTTTTGTTTTGGATGGTGAAAGCTAGCACTCCACACAAGACATGACAGCAAAAGATTCTTCCAAGGGACTTATTGCTTCTGAATCTGAGGTTTGCATAAAGACTTTCAAGGAGCAAATGCACTTGGAACTGGAGCTTCCAAGACTACCGGGAAATAGACCTACATCTCCTAAAATTTCTCCACGCAGTTCACCCAGGAACTCACCATGCTTTTTCAGAAAGTTACTGGTGAATAAAAGCATTCGGCAGCGTCGCCGCTTCACTGTGGCTCATACGTGGTAAGTTGGGGCTTGGAGCAATCTATGGTGTTTTTCAGATGTTACATTAGAAACAATGATTTAGAAATAGAGTAACCAGAAAAATTTAAGTTCGATTCCTAATACATACCACAAGTATGAAGTGACTGGAGACCAGGTCAGTTGAAGAATTCATAATTCAGTGTCTGCTAAGTTATCATTATCATCTAGCTGTTTCCAGCTAAAACAAGTCTTTACTCTGATCGAGTTGTTTATATTACTGCTTATAAAAATGCAGAGCTAATGTTAAAATGAATAATGTAAGAGGTTTGAAAAGTCAATGCTTTGTTTAATCTCTGTTGAGGTGATAGGTGACTTATAAAATACATAATTCATTTAGTTAAACTGAATAGTGGAGGTTTTTAAGGGTCAGTGTTTTCTTTAATCTCTGTTAAAGTGAGAAATGACTTTTTGCTTGCTTTTTGGATGTTATTGATGAGTTAAAAATATATAGAGATATAGTATGTTTTGGAAGGAGAATGTCAATGTTTTAATTTTAGCTTCACTTTATTCCTATACCAGTGTTTAAGGTTAAACTTAATTTCTTGTATTGCTATGTTTATAGTGTATAAACCAGTGAGGGTTTTTATTTACTGACTTACCATTACATAGTAACAGAGGAAGGGAAAAGTAAGTTCCCACTTCTAAAATGGCATAATTGCTTTCATTTGTGTTTTGAATATCTGCTATCTTTAAAAGCCTTCTAGTCTTTAAGCATGACTTAGATTTTATTGGTATTTTGGATCTGCTAAGTAGATAAATTCAAGATTAATTTTAAAAATTGCACTCAACTAGCCATTGTTAATATAAGTATACTTAAAAGAAGTGTGTATAAATAAAAGAATAATCTCTGTAAACCAGAATAGTAATAAAATATCAGGAAAGCTCACCAGAAATGAAATTAACTTTGAAAGTAAAGAACCATTAGGTGTTCAAATTTCTTGAAAGGAAAGAATTTTTTTCTAGTTAAGATACTTTAAGAAATTGAGTGTCCGTACTTTCAGATTTTATTGAATAGGAGTTAGAGCAATAAAGAAAACTTATACCTCTTAAAGACAGATCTAATGCAGTATTTCTGTGGTTGCATGTTATATACTCCATATTATATATAACTAATTTTATACCTAGTCTTTGAAAATTATTTCCTACATAAATTTTGTCTTATCAATGTCAAAATGTCTATATGCCTTACCAGTTGCCCAGTGCATTGGCAAAGTAAAGTTATCCCTAGGCAGATGTAGCTTACACTTGGCAGACTTTGCATGTTTAGGCAACACATATTCACTTGATTAAATATAATGTGATTGTTGTTCCAGACTGACATTGAACTATTGCTCCTGTGATTGTTTTCTTGGAGATTTTATTTGACGTTTTCTTGATGCATTGAATCTTGATATTTAGTTGTAATCTCCTACTTGCAGAATGTAGAGTAACACGTGATTAGTGTTTTCAAAACCTACCAATGGTAGCATTTGCAGAAAGAGATGGTTTATGTATAAGTATATACTGAGATTAACTATGCTCTCTATCTTGCACCCAATATCTGTAAATTTTCATGTATTTTCTTAAGTAGTAGAACTAAATAAATAGAGGGTTGTATAGATTAATTCATTCTGATGAAACAAATGCATATTCAAAACATGCAATCAACTAATAGATGCTTATGTTTTGCTACTTGGGATTATATTGCATTATTTTATTAACTAAAGAGACTGAGTTTCAGTAAACTAAATTTTAAATATTCTAAATCTGCTTAAAACATTGCAATATTTTTGATATTATAGAAATTGGTTTCTCGAACATTTTAATCTGACCTCTCTTACTTAGAACGAATATTTAATATACACAGAGTTATGGATATTGTGTATATTTTTTTCATTCTTGGTGCCTGCATTTCTCAATTAGTAGATTGAAGAGCATGTCTTATTCATGCATTATACAAATTTTCTTACATCAAGTTGCAAAAAGAACAATTAAACAATATTAGGTAACTTATGGTGATAAAATCATCTGGTTTAGTTAAAACAAAATTTCTCACAAGTTGCCAAAAAGAAAGCATACTTTAATATAATTACCATGACAGGAGCTTAAATAATACATTAATCATCAAACTTGTAAAATAACTTTAGTTATGACTATGATTCATTTTCACTCTCTCCTAGCTCTCACACTCCCCTTCTGTTCCTTAGGAAAGCTTTGTCATAGTTTTCAGTTCTTTATTGAGTCTATATTTACATTAATTTCTATTTTTTAATGAAAGTGTATGGCTACCATTTTTCAATTTTTTTTTCATGAAATATTTTCTTATTTGAATGTCCTCTTCACAAATACTAAAAATCATTGCTTAATTTTAAAATTAAGCAATTGTGTCAAATTTTAAAATTGTGTCATATAAAACAGTTATATGAAGAAATAAGAGCATAGCATTTTATTTGTATTTTTTCTTCTCTATCATGGTGAAATGGAACCAAGCTTTCATGATCAATGATTAGTATTTTCCAAGCATGCATTTAAGCTTGAAATTCCAAGATATGCACTTAGAAGTCTCTCAAAACATGTCATTACTTTACAGTAGACAGTAAACTTCTTTTAAGATGATTGGATTGTTTTGATTCTAGCAGTGAAATTAAAGTAATTTTCGTGATGAAGCTAAACAACATAGAGGATGCAGTTTATATCTAAACCCATGAGCATTTTTTTTGTTTTTAGTGTTTTGTTATTTGTAGATGTCATATTTTGTCAGATAAATATGTAGTTTTGGTTTTGAAAACCTAGGTTATGAAGTGTGAAATAATGGCAGAGTTTGAAGACTTAAAAAATACTTCTGAGATTCTGATTTTGGAACTGTCTGAAAAATACCTGAAAAAAGTAGTTTTCAATATGCTGTCACCAATTAGAGTATTTATACAATCTTAAATATGGAAGGAATTTGGGCTTCCATTCACCCTTGGGCAGCACTGTCTTTTTTGACATATGGGACTCTGCACCATTTTTAAAAGTCTTTGGAAAATAGAATTCTATAATATTTCTAACGTCATAGTTTCACTGGTCTTTACAGGTACAGAAAAACTTGTCCTAATGATCAGTCTTAATATTCAATATTGGAATTTATCTTCTTTTTGTCCTCAGTGGAGAGTAAGAAAATGTTTACAAGAACCTGTATCAATCTGGAAATCATTATTAACTTTTCTTAGGTTTACTTTTCCAATTTAATCAATGCATATAATTAATATTTCTGTGAAGAAGAGGAAAACAGACTTGACTAATCTATATTTCACTACTATTCTTTAATTTTTCCACTAGGAATATTAATATACCCCATCTAATAAGTTCCATTTGGCGTTTAAGAGCACTAGAATTCACAGTTCTGTCTATACAATATAATGTACACATAATATTTTGAATTCCTTTATAATTTTCCAAGCATTTATAGTTCATTAATTATCATTTTGACAGTAAACCATCATTCTAAACTACTTTTTTGACTTATGACACACTAATGCTGACACCATGCTCACTGATGCAAGAAATGACAAAATGTAGCGTTAAAAACTAAATAAACAAAACCTAACAAAATTATGTCATACATTGCCAAAGGTCATTGAGATGCTCAGCATAGCCGTTGAAGGCCTGAAAGGATATGGAGGAATGGGAAAACTAATTCTGGAGTTCTTTTGCCATCATATGATTTAGTACTAACCCTAAATCAAGGACGAAACCCCTAAAACAGTTGGGTAACTTATCTGGTTTATGTCTCTTGCTTGAACCAGTGCTTGTCATGCAGTGTGTACCTTTTAGACCTATATTATTTGCACTACTGTTCTGACTTCAGTCATTAATTCTCCAGAATTAGTGTCATGAGACTGTCTAAAAAACGCTGTTACTAGTGGTCGTGAGTACATTTCTCCAGACCACTTTACTACATGTTGTTCTTGCAGAGCTAGCACATGGTGAATTCCATTCCTATTGTCCCTATTTGCACAAGGAACAATATTAATTATCAGTTGGTGTGAAGAAAAAAAAAAGATGTTTTTGTGTTTGTGCTTCTTTTGTCTCTACTTAGTTCTCCTTGTAACTTCAATATACAACTATAGGGAGGAGTCCTGGTAATCTCGTGTGCAATAATTGAGTATGAAAATATGTGGTTTCTATAGACTTCAAAGAAACTTATATTTGACAATGTAAATGTATAATAATTGAAAGGTAAAAAAGGAACCAATGAACAATTCTTAGTCTCTGCCTGTATGAGGTAAAAGAATGGAGGAAATCAAAGGATCAGAGAATAAACTAGTTCAGGCGACTAATATCCTGCGTGAGCCACAGCCTTTTTCTAACCTGAAACCAAAAGAAGTAGATGGGGCCTGGCTACCACTACCAAACTAATAAATAACCTAATGGTGTGTGAATAATGTTATTGAAGAAGCATGCTTAACTTGATATGGGAGTACTAACATTAGAAAGTGGGTCATTGTGTTAGGGGTTTTAGAAAAGAGAGGAGCTTTATGTGAGGTCTTGGAAAATTAATAGGAACTTACCAGATGAGTGGGAAGAAATAGAATTTTTTTTGTAAACAGCATAGAAATCAGGAAATCCCAACTGCAAAATAAGAGTAATAGCTCACATTTCATTATCATTCACAAAATACAAGAATTCTTCTAAATGTATGCATTCACTTTTTTCATTAACAGGTCTATGACTGAGTATTTTAACTCGTATTTAATAGTATAAGTTACCGTTATTATTCCCATTCCATATGAAAGAAAATGATGCACAGAGAGGACATGTAATTTGCCCAAAGTAACACAGCAGTAGAAGTCTAGTTGATAAAGGACTTGGAGCATGGAGACAGCAGTGATCACAATACTCTGGGGCTATAGCTTAGGGTCCCTATAGGATATAGAAGTTACAGATGATAAGAACTGAGCCTGCAAAGGTAGACTGGAGCCATGGCATAAAGATTCTGATATCACATAAAAGACTTA